TTCCACATCAGTCCCCATTTCTAATCTTTGGTCGATCTCACTCAAATAAATAAATAAATTACATATATTATATATACAGGCCCTTTAACAAGAGGGATCCCCATTTTTAAAAAAAAATGGGGACACCCTCTTGACCGTTGGATTAGCTTTAATGAAATTGTCTGGTTGAGATTAAATCACAGGCCACACAATCTCAACCACACAATTTCATTAAAGTCAAATCCAACGGTCGGGGTGTTCCCATTTTTTTAGAAAAATGGGGATCCCTCTTGTTCAAGGATTCCATTATCTATATATATGTGTACGTATGTATGTATGTATGTATAACACGTGTAAAATGTCCATTCTTGGAACATATGAAGTTGCTAGCAATAAGAATGCATGGAGAAAGTTGTTACCTCTATAGGAGTAGTGATTTTCTTTTCACTAATTTTATCGTACTTTTGCTTCTTTGTACCAGCTTTTAAACCTTGCCAGGGAAGGCTGATTAGAGGCAAAAGACAAAAAAGAAAGAAATAAAAAAGTGGAATAAGATACAATGTAGCATCAAATACCCAAAATCAGATAGCAAATGCCCAAAAAACAAAACACATGAAGAACAAGTGCAAGAACTATACCCTAACCTTCCCCTTAGGAAATACATCAGCACATAACCAAGAGATTCCAAATCATCTCTTCTGCTTTGCTCTGAAAGTGAAATAAAACACAATGAGAATAAGTAGAGCATAGTATGTTGGATCTTTGATTATCCATTTACTGTAATAATTTACATAGTAAATAAAACGACATAAAATATCTCTCACCAATTCCAAGGTGGGTGTTAACACTTGCATAGCGAGCAGTTCCTGTGAGGTTCTTGTTCTCCCTAACAAATGAAAAAGAAACAAAAAGAAACAAATTTAACTTTCAAAGTAACCACAGCAAATCCAACGCTGGCACAGAGGGATCAAAAGTACAAGATTAAACATTAAAGTCAAAATCTAATAGAAATGGAAGCAGTGCAGAGATATGTCGATAATACATTGACAGACAACCCACAGAAACATATTTAACACAAGCAGCGACTTTACCAAAAAAAAAAACTTTACCAAAAAATTTATCATAATTTGTCACTTTCCAAGTAAAATTTACCTGTATGGTATGTGCTTATGAGTCTGAAGATCCCTATACTTCTTTGCAAGACCAAAATCAATAGCATACACCTGTGACAAATAATGTCAGATATATTACAGTTCTAAATAAAAAAGTGTGATTGGAAGTGTTAATAAAAATAGATTTGAAATCCCACCCCTAATACCATATGAGATCCCCAATAACGAAAAAGTTTCAAGCAAAAGTGTTCCATTAATGCACTAAGTGCTATAATTCGCATGGCAACTGCAGTTAAACAGGAAAAGATACCTGATTGGCTTTACGCCCTAGGCCCATTAAAAAGTTGTCAGGCTTAATATCACGGTGAAGAAAACCTTTCGAGTGCATGTATTCAACTCTGTTAATCTGAAAGATGAAATTGAAAAAGTAAAAACGATTATCCTGGCCAATTTAGACATATTAGGTGAAGGATAGTAATTAGTACTTACCAATTGATCTGCAAGCATCAACACTGTTTTCAATGTGAACTTCCTATTGCAGTAGTTGAACAAATCTTCCAAACTTGGTCCAAGAAGGTCAATTACCATGATATTGTAGTCAACCTCAACTCCAAACCACTTGAGGTGGGGTATTCCGGCTTCATCATAAAATGACAATGGTTAGTTGTTTACTATCGGTTATTGTTAAAAAAAAAACTTATCTGAGAGAGAGAGAGAGAAGAGAGACTTACTTCCTCCTTGAAGAAGCAAATACAATTTTGACTCATAATGAAGCTGGGGATGCTTCGTCTTCACAGGTTCCTGGAATTTGGAAAGTAAACTAGCTCATCAGATGCACGCAATTATAGACTATTGAATTATATGTAGATGGTACAATAAGGAAATGTAACAAGGTTGTATAGGACTGGAACTTTGTGATATCAAAACGCATCCATGACAAATCTTAAATAGAATAAAAGGTTGGCTTCTCATAGAGAATTTTCGTTGATAACATAACTGAAAAGAAATGAAGAATATAAAGCATGAAGAAATGTAACTCGCATAGAGCTTGTCGAATATGAAATCTAAAGTGCCATTCCTACTCTTATTCACAAAGATTCAAAAGAGAGTATTCATTTTGTTCTTCGACTTCCTCTAGTGATTAAAGAAATGTTGGACAAAACATGATTTTATTCAACACGTTCATTAAACCGGAGAATTCATAAGGTTTTCCTGAACCCAAAGTATTGAATGACCAGAAGCTCACAGTCAACATAACCAAGTACACTGATGAAGCTAACAATTTATAACTCAGGCACAAACTATAGAATGCTTAAAAACATTACCAAACATCAGAACTGAATCTACGATTCAAGGATTGATCACATACCAGCTTAACAGCCACCTCTTCTCCGGTTTGTACATTTACACCTAACACCAGAACAGGAATTTCATTACAAAACACATGAAATTAACATAACGAATAACTTTCGGCGAAAAAACAGGTAGCAAGCACTGAATACCATACCTAAATAGAGTTCTCCGAAAGAACCACTCCCAATCTTCCTCCCCAACTTAAACTTTCCAGCAATTACATGCTCCATGATGCAACAATATCCAATACGATTCGACCAACAAGCTCAAACCGGCTTTATTTCACAGCAATTTGTACAAAATTCAGCCTTTATTGTTTGCATAACCCAAAAACGGCCAAACAATAAACCCCCAAATCTCCAACAAAAAATTAAAATTACAAGATTTTCCTCCGATCAAAACCTCCGATTTTCTCCCAATAACTCGGCCTACGGACCACACGATCACAATCCCAGCATTAAATTACCATCAAATGGAAAATAAAAACGAAACCCCAGAAAATCCAATTGGGAAATCCGGCTTTATCGACAATACCGACACAAAAAGAGGGCAACTTTTTGGAAAATCAAAGGACCCCTTTTTCTCCAGCTGCACATCCAGAACGCCCCAAATCCCAAATCGACGATTGCAGACGACGAATTCGAATCCTGAATCACAAGAACATTGACCTACATTGACCTCGAAGCCCTCGATTCGGAAGCCAAAATAAAACAAAATCTTCAAAAATTTGAAATCTGCTGCGAAAATGTATTAAGTACCAAATCAAACGAGGATCAATTGGGAGGATTTTTGTTGGGATCGGACAGAGCTAGAGACAAATTGTTTTTTGCAATATGAACAGGAAAGGGAAATTGGCGGAGGAAAATAATGCCGAGAGAGAGAGATGGGGGAGGGGCAGAATAAGAGGAAGGAGTCTGGAGACGATTATATTTGTTTGTTTTTTAGTTGTAATTTTTTTTTTAATATTTTTGGAAATTGGACTTTCCATTTCGATTTTATTTATGAAAATAAATAGGAATTAATCAATTAATTATAAGATAAAAAGGAAATAAAATATGAGGGGTGATGCGATATCTTCTGAGATTCTGAGCTGCAGCCTAACTCGTTTGGGCTGTCTCTTTGGAACGGGTCACCTCAGGTCAAAAGCAAAGTTAAAAAATTTAAAAATAAAAACAATTACTAAACGCACGTAATATTATTATTCATGATACTTCTAAAAATTCTTTTCATTTGTTGTGAATAGTAAATGTTTGGTAAATAGAGTCTTTCGTTTCAACCAACTGCTCATCGAGTTCAAACCCTTATCTTCAGTTGGTCTACAATAATTTAGTGTAAAATTCTATAGTATGTAAAAATAATTTTCGACAAAAGTTGTGTTTTACAATAATTAAAACAAATAAAAAAAGAAAAAGAAAATTATTTTACAAAAACATGTCCGCATTTTCTTATAAGAAACTAATGAAAAAGGCTTGAAAACTTTAAGTTTTGACGATAAGGACAAAATAAAAGATAAAGTGAATAGTACAAATATTGATTTTTAATGTAAAAATATAATTTTTCGTTAAAGTGAACAGTACCGAAAACTTTTCGTTAAAGTTCTATTTTCTTATTTGCTGTCTGTAATTTTTTTGTTTGTATTTTATGTAAAAATTAGTTAAAATTTAGATATGTGAGGATCTTCCTGGTCCTGAGTGGGATATTCTCAATCTTTTTCTCCCTGTCTGTCTTTTTTCTGATCTGTTTTTTTCACTATTTTGATAGGAAGTGGGACTTTGTCTCAGGCTCTCAGACATGGAGTTTTGGCCCATTTTTTTTGGGTCAGAATCTTTGTCAAATTTGGAATAACAACTTGCATAAAACGGTCCACCGTAAAGTCGCATTCTGATTTGTGAGTGAATACAATGTACACGATATATCGAAGACAGATATAAGTGAAAGATGCTATTTTGACCTTTGAAAATAGGACTTTGTCTCACGCTTTCAAATGTAAAGTTTATGGCCTTTTTGGAGTCAAAATTTTAGCCCAATTTGGTTTTGGATTGTGCATCTTTCTCGGTTGCATCTCCAACTCCATTACCCAAAATAAATAAATAAATTGGTTGAAAATTTGAATGAAAATAATGTCTAACAAATTGTAATGTTACACTTGATGTATTAGGCTAGTGTTCTTGAAACATGAAAAAAATTCTCAGCTAAAAGGAGTGGGGTAAGACCTAGGAAGGCTTGCAAAGAGACTTTAAGAAAAAATATAGAATACTTGGAGCTAACGGAAAATTTGGTACGGAACTGAACACAATAACATTATGAGGTTCATACAGCCAATCATATTTAATGAAATTAAGCTGGTTGTTTTAGTATAAATAAATTCTAAAATGATTAATTGCTTACAAATTACAATTAATTTGGAAAGAAAGAGGAATGCTAAATGGACTATCTTAAAAAAATAAAAAATAAAAGACACTTCTGTGCCATCTCACCGTTAATATTGTGCCAAAAGTATCAGGCGGGTGAGAATCTGCATAGAATCCCGCTTTAAGAGAGTGTCTTACCATAAAACAATAACTGCCCGGCCTCATCATCTATATGCCACCTAAGACTTGGAATTGACATATCTGATTTTTGGGATCTCTTCGTTTGTCTGTCGTTTTCCAGGTTCGTGTTCATTTACCATTTCACGTTTCTCATCTTCTCTCGACGCTTTCACGTTCAATCCATTAATTTATTTGGGAAATTTCAATTTGATTAAATCTAAACTATTCACGTCTGTTTAAATAAGAATAATTTTTTATTTTTTTAAATTTCGTGAGATCGTAATACTTGTAGCTTCAATGGTACAGCGCTTTAAAAAAAAAAAACTGGCTAAGTTCTTTAACTTGCACGCATTGAATTATGAAAGCAAACACAAACATAAATTGCCATGCTGACCATAATATTCAGATTACCAAATCCGACTTGTGATGGTTTTTGCAGATAATTAAGCACAAAAATGGCAGGATCAGGAACTGTTTTCGCTTCTGCTCTGGAAGGGATGAACCACGTTAAATCCGACTCCGGCGAGATGCTTGCCAAGCCTTTCTTGGATGTCTGCAACCACTTGCTGCCTGTTTTAGGTATGAGGGTTTGATTTTTAACCCGAAAGCGGATTGAATTCAATGTGTTTTGATGCTGAAAAGACCGTGTTTCTCTCGATTCCTTGTTTCGATTCCAGATAAGTTTGGAGCTGCCTGCGCACCTGTGAAATCTGATATTGGTAATAACATATCGGTAAGTTGCTCTTTTTTTAACTTTTTTATAGGAACAATAATGTGACTTTCTGTACAAGCAATCTGTTCTAGGTTTTCTAATGTTTGCAAGGTTTTTTATGTTCTTCTCTACATTGCAGAGGTTGGATTCTAAGTATTCGTCGAGCCCGTCAGAGTTTAACCTCTTGTACAGCATAGTTCGAGTTGAGATTGAAGCGAAAACTGCGAAATGCTCATCTAGTTGCACAAATGCTCTACTCTGGCTAACAAGGTATGTCGTGTTCGTGTTGCATGTTTTCCACCTGCAAGCCAAACCTTGTTTCGTTGAGAACTGAATGTGCTTGATTAGGGCTATGGATTACTTGGTGGAGCTGTTTCGCAATCTGCATGATAATCCGGACTGGCCAATGTCGAAGGCTTGTAACGAAGCGTACGGCAAGACGCTGAAGAAATGGCACAACTGGCTGGCTAGCTCAAGTTTTAGTGTAAGAACTCTAATTCTTTTCCATTAGATATGCGTGCGATCTTCGTCATTCTTTGGTGCGATTAACTGCACTTTTAAAGTTTTTCGGCGACATATGCGGAAGCGTAATTTTTTCGAGTTGCTTGATTGAAATGCAGGTTGGGATTAAGCTTGCTCCGGAGAGGAAGAAATTCATGGACATATTAGGTGGTGAAACTCCTGAATTAAACTCTGATATGGGGAAATTCTGCAGGAACTTCTCTCCGCTCCTCGAAGAAAATCATAAGTTCTTGGTAAGGTTTTTCGTGTTCGGGCAACATGGTTTGGTTCGAATTTGCGTAATCGGGTTCTGATTAAGTTTTGTGTTCTTAATGTTTTTGCAGGACTCTGTTGGATTGGACAGTTTGAAAGCTTGATGCATGTTCTAAATGAATGTTGATTATATGTTGTATGTGTAATTTATGTACGAAAAAATTGCATTTGCATTCTTTGTAAGCCTTGCTTACTGTGCTACCAAATACAGCGTTGCAAAGGATTTGTAACTAACGTGGCTAAAATTATTTATTCTTGTAATAGCGGTTGTAGGTTCGATTTCCCTCTCAACTGTCGCTTGTACAGAAAAAATTACAATGTATTTAATTAACCTAATTTACCACTAAGCTCCAATGTGACAACAATTTGATTCATTTCTTTATGTTTGATGACAATGATCTAACAGTCCTTAAAGAGTCAAAAGATCAACATATTAAAAGGTTTTTAAACCCTAACTAAAGTAAGAATTCTATGCCAATTGAGTTATAAATTATAAGTTATAACTAACGATATTGTCAAATAAAACTTCTTGGTGCAACTTGACTTGGGTCAATCCGAAAGCTTCCAAATCCGCTCATGCAGACGTTTCTCTGTTTACAATGACTGTAATTTCTAAACATAAAAAACGTGTTACTGTGAGGCGAAATTCTTTGATTCGAATACCAGATCAGATGACCATACAGCCACACACAAAAAAACACCCCTACCCCACCAGCCCCCTGATTTTTCACTCAAATCCGGTCCATTATGTCCCAATGAGCTCACAAACAACGGCGGCCGCACCCAAAATCAATTGTTGAACGCATAGCTATCTAACCGTAGCATTTATCTTGCTTCAATATCCTACAAACCCGCTACGTGAAATCCGACTCATGCAGCCAGGGATCCAAATGCAAGTGTTACATCTAGACGTACGTAGCCATTTTCTCTTCAAGTAATTTCCACCCAAGAAAATAGCCAACCAACAATACAAGTTCATAAGCATCTACCATTCATTACAGCCTCTAAAATGACAACTCCCCCCCCCCCCTATATTTAGCATTTCAAAGATTTTATTTTCACTCGAACTTTCGCACCGGAAAATTCGACGTACTTCTGGTTGACAATTATAGGGTTAGGGGAAAAAGAAGAATGCATTACCATCGAATTAACGAGATAAGCGATGGGTTTACTTTAATTAAGCATAATTTGTTTTTCAGTTCATCCCTTTTCTCATCACTGCCACCCTCAATGCCACATTTGTCAAAAGCTGTTGTTCGTTTTTGAACACCTTTTTCCCTTTCTTCTAAAGTTCTCCCCATCTCGTGTGCAAATTAATAGAAGAAAGTGAATGTTCTTAGTTTTTTAGGGAGAACAAAAAAACTTATAGGTCTGAATGTCGCCTCCTCGCATATGGGCCTGTAAAATACGGCCTTGCATCAAGGTATCGATATCGAAAATGCAGAGGAATATAATTTTTTGTTGTCGTTTCTTTTATCAACAAATTGTCGTCTATGAGATTTGAACTTAAAACAGAATAACGGATTTCGGTCTTGTTTGCATTAGCCCTTTCGTGTTGTTTCTTTTGATTTTTGATTATTAACATCTTCTTCCTTTATTGTGAATTTTATAGAATTGGAGGACAAATTTTGGGTTCTAAATCTAGTAGGGAATTCCCAAGAGTATTTTTAATTGGTTTGTTTAATTAGAATGGCGGCTAAAGATGCAAATAACGGCAAGATGGTGGTGAAAGATGCAACTAATAACAAGATGAAGGGCCTCTTGAAAGGACTAAGATACATTTCTCAAATATTTGGTACGTATAAAATTGGAAGAAGGTTGCAATTAGAGTGATTTATAGGTGCACTTTGATAATTTTCTCAAAGAAATTGCCATTCCTTTTAGCAGATGAAAACAAAGACCAAGAAATGCAGATTGGACTTCCTACGGACGTAAAGCATGTGGCTCATATAGGATGGGATGGCCCTTCAACTGCTAGTTCACCAAGCTGGGTAATTAACTATTTTTCTTTTTATTATCAACAATTATCGTCTATAAGATTTGAACTCCGCTCCTAACCTCCTTTCCGACAAAGTGGAGATTGGGAGCCGCTAGACGAGATCATCATGTGTGTTTTCATGCAGATGAATGAGTTTCAAGCTCCACCCGGATTTGAACAATCACCACCTTTAGGCAATGGTGAGACGAAGGAAGATTCTAGGGTCAAATGGGTCTCTGAAGGTACACTTTTTTTTTTTGGTGTGTCTAAAATCACACACTTCGAAAATGTAGGTGGTTTTGGTTGACATGTTAATGTCGAAATGTACGTAGATTCGAGCCGGAAAGGTTCGAGGGGTGCTAGGTCACCAGGGCATGACGTGCCGGATTTACCCAAGTCGTCAAGGCGGCATTCATCAAACGGGCACGGAGTTGGTGGACCGGATTCCCCCAAGAGGGGAAAATCAGATAAACCGAAGCAAACAAGGCGGTCTTCTAAGAACAAGGACACATCGGATAGTAGTATTAGAGGCATCCGGCAATCCACGGATCCAAGTCAAGACAGCGAATCGCCGCAAAACCTACCGGACATCCCTAAGAAAACGCAGCGGAAGAAGTCGAAAGACTCATCCTTTGGGGGGACATCAGGGTCAAGAAGATCTAAACACCATGCTAGTTCAGAAACATGTACATCTCCTGGACACCAATCTGCAACCATTTCTCAGAATTCTTTTTAAGTGGGGGGGAAACAAGGGATTTACATGAATTTCTTCACACTGTTGATTATTGTTGTAGCTAGAATCTTTAATCAGGCTAGCTATATAAAATGTATCAGGGAAGTGAAGCCAAAGAATTGTGATTTTCAGCCTAATAACATTTTACTTCATTTTTTTTCTTCGTAAAAATGAATTTCGTTAGAAATCCAGACGGCATTATCAAATCATCTTTACGTCATCTCTCAGAAAAGTAAGAATTTTCTGTATTTTAGTTCAATCCGACCCACAATGATCCAATCCGACAAATAAAAATTGACCTAATCAGACGAACAACCTATGTTTCAAAAATTCAAAGCAATTGCTACTGTAACTATTGCTTTCCGGCCCAGACATCATTGTCCAACACAGTACAAGGGTGATATGCTTTTGTCTCTCTCTCTCTCTCTCTCTCTCTCTCTCTCTCTCTCTCTCTCCATGATTTTGAGATCAATTTTGCCCTAATTAGACAACATTCCAAAACATGTTTGAGACTGCAAACACCAACCATTTAGGGCAACTTTCACCTTCTCTCTCCCCTGGCAGTTGCTTGCTCCCCACTCAAAAAACCCCTTTCGTGAAACGGCTGCAGAATCTCACAGTTGCAATACAGCAAACAGTTGACCCTTGCATTTTTTTCACCCATGGATAGATAAAGGTTCAGGAAAATGTGGTAAAAAGTAAAAAATAAATAATAACATGATTAAAGATAATGATACAATAATTTATATGCACTTTCCATTGACAAAAAGTCCATAATTACATTAATCTCCCCTGTAATCTCAGTGACTGCACATATCCAAAAATTCATACTCCATGTCAGTAATTATAACCTGTTCTTTTCTCTGTTACAAGACCTAATCCCAGTCAAAAACTCTCAAATCTCTAGCTTAATCCTAATTAAGCAAAGATTAACACAAACAAAACACATGTGCCAAACATAATCACAGAATTAGGAAGAACAACAACTTGCACTGAAGAGTCCAGAGTTAGAGGGGCAGAATTGGGTTTCTGGGTTTTCTTGCAGACCTTCAGCTGGGTCTTGGAGGAGAGGATCAAAGCCTTATCATCGGCACAAAGATTAGGGTTTCCAGCCAGTTTCAAATTTTGCCCAAATTTTGCTGAAAATTTACTACCACCAAATGAAACTCTGCCACTGAGGTTATTGTTCTGCAAATTAATCACGCTCACAGATTCCAAGAGCCCTAACTCCTCAGGCACCGTCCCTTCAAGCTTGTTGTTATCAAGCCCTAAATACCTTAGATTCTTCAAATGCACCCCCATTGAAGCTGGAATTTCACCAACCAGCCCCATTTCTGAAAACCCAATTCCTAGAATACCCCCAAGCTTGTCCCAAATTTTCGGAATCTGCCCTCCCAGCAAGTTCCCGCTCAAATCTAATTGCTTCAGCCTTGGCATATCACCCAGAAACAGAGGAACCCCATAGTTGGTGAAATTGTTGCGGCTCAGGTCCAGAAGCTCCAAAGTTTTCAAGTTCTTCAAGCTCTCTGGGATTTTACCATTAAACCCATTGGATCTCAGGTCCAGCTTCACCAGCTCCGAGAGATTTCCCACCGATTCAGGGACAGTTCCGGAAAAATAATTGTAACCCAGATCAAGAACCTTCAGCTTCTTCAGCTTCGAGAAGCTCATCAGGGGGATTTCGCCGCCGAGTTGGTTCCGAGACAGAGTCAGCTCCTCCAGGTTAACCAGGTCGGCGACGCCGTCCGGGATGTTCCCGTAAACCCCATTTCCGGTCAGAACCACCCTTCTCAAGTCGGTGAAATTACGGATTATTACACTGAGGGAGCCCACCAGAGACGGGTTGTCGATGAAAACGAGCTCCTCCAAACCGGACCCGAAACTCTTGGGGATTTCGGGGAACGAAACGCGCGTTCCGGTGAAGCAGCGGTAGAAGAAGAGCTTGCGGAGGTACTTGAAGGAGGTGAAGAGGAGCGGGCTGAAGGTGGCGTTGGCGGAGCACGGCGGGTTCGGGGTGTAGTCCGAAACGTACCCGAAATTCATCTCGGTCACGTGCGCCACCGGTTCGGGGGACGAAACGTTGTCGTAGAAGAAGTCGCAGACGACACCGTGAGGGGCGGAGAGGCAGAGGTCGTCGGGGAAGAGGGAGCGCCAGGAGATGTCGGGGTTGACGGAGCCAAGAACTGTGTAGACGGCGTCTTGCTCGGCGGGGGTGAGGAGGGGTTGTGAAATGACGGCTATGGACAGGAGGGTTGTGAGGAGGAGGAGGAGGAGGAGGGTAAGTTTGGAAAAAGGATGAAACAGAGCCATTGGAGAGGAGGGGAAGGTGGTGGGTGTGAAGAGGAAAAGAAGTGGGATTTGGGAGGAGGGTATATGGAGAGTGAGGTGGGTATACCGAGGAGGAAAATGAGGGTGTAGGTTATGTTATGGTGAGGACTCTCTCACGCATTTTTCTCTGGTGAGAGTGAGAGCGGTTGGCTCATGGTTTTTAAGTGGGGGTGCGAGGGAAGGGGAGAGGCTGGCTTTTCTGCTGCTTCCTGGTTGCGTAGCAGGTTTTGATGAATTTACCAATTTAGCCTTGTTTTTGGACTGGTGTGGAAGACCAAGCAATGACCAAGTCAATTTAAAATTAGATACATTACATACAATAATTTTGGTGACCCAGAAAATTACTGAAATATTGTCATGGTGTGTCGGCAACGCAGACCCAGCACTGCACACCATGCACGGCAGCGCAGACCCAGCACGGCAGAGAGATACCCACTGAAAACCTCGAACCGAAAAAACCTCGAACACATCAACCTCACCGCTCCGCTTCTTCAACGACCACGATCTAAACCCGCTCGAACTTTAACCGGCACAAACAAAAGCGACCGGAAAAGTTCTGGAAAAAATAAAGGTTGTGAGCCGGCGGAGGAGCCGACAGGAACCTGCGGACTGTAGCAGCCGCGAGGCGACAGAGACGCGCCGCACCCGCCGACTTGCTGTCTCGTGTTGTCAGCTGCACCATGAAAGCGACGGCTAACCCTCGACACGTGGAGTTGTACGGAGGATCCGTTTCCGGAAATGTGAGAGCTTGCGAATGTGGTGTCGTTTGGTGGCAGATGGGAGTTAAAAAGAGCGGGAAAGCGGGACCCGCCAAGTCAGACAATTCTGGAGCACGAAATATGCGTTTTTGCTGTTTGTTTTGCTTTTTGACCTTTTTGTTGGGTTTTGGAGTGGAAAGGAAGGAAACAGAGGGTAGAGGAGGAACCAATTAATAAGCAAATTCCAATAGGGCGAGGGAGAGTGCGGTCCTCTTCAATAATTTACACGAAACAGGTTTCCAGAATAATGAATGTTCTGAGCTATTAATTCAATATTATATATATATATATATATATTTACTTATTTTTTTCTTTTTATTTATTTTTTTCTTTTCAAATACTCTTAATTAGAGGTTTGGAATGCCAACATAACGAAAAATCCGTTCTATGAAAATCATGTGTTGTCTTATTTCGTGCAACTTTTGAATGTTGGATTGCACAATATAACAAGGAAAGGTGGAGAGACAAAAATGGTGCATTCGGATTCAAGGTAAAAGCTGAGCTTCGTTTGCATACCCGGATTAAGCTTTTGGATGGATGCTCTTTCATTTTGGTCTAGGTCTGATGAAATTGAGTAGAATATAAGGGGTGTCCTACTCAAATTTTTTTTATAATTCTTAAAAGAACTTGGATGAACTTCTCTTAAGAACACTTTTTTCAACAACCCGAAAATTTGTTTGGTATTTAACCTGGAAACTATTTAAATCTCAAAGGATTTAGGCTATATAACCCAAAATCTTGTTTGTTGAAGGGGTATGATTCTCTTCCCTCTTTTTTTCCCTCCCCTTCTATTCCCTCATATTTGAAGGGTCACGGTTAAGTCACGTTAACATCTTGTATTAATTTTTTTATAAAAAGAGAAAGACAAAATAAAAAATGTAAGAGGAAATGATGGAAGGGATGGAAAGAGGAGGGGAGATAATCCTTGTCTGAAAATCATTAGGTGGCGTTGGCTGAGGGATGATATCAAGGTTGGGTCGGGATCCGAGAAACAACCTACACAATACTCACCAAGGCCTAATATTTTGACCACTTGATTTGGAACTCCCAATTTCCCATTTCATAAAATGAAATCATGTTGTTTTCAGGTGGGTTTTGTTCACATATATGGTGGTGGGTTGCTAATTTCAAATGTTGCCATTGAAATTGGGCAAACTGAGCTTGAAGTAAAGCTTTGGTATTTTAGGGGGGGGGGGGGTGATTAGAGTGAGAGGATGGTAGGTCGAGCATGGTGGGAAGAAAATACCTCAGTCACTAGAAAATCCATGTGATTGGCATTAGAGCCTCCCTCAGTCGCCCAAAAACATCTCTCATCACCGTCAGTGACTCTTAGTTGATGTTTGGTATCACCGGTCTCAAAGCTAAGGTCTTGCAAATCTCGCGAAGAAAGAAAAAAAAAGGATTGAAACAGACTTTTGTTGTTCTCAAATTTTAAGCTAATTTTTTAATTATTTTTTAATTTGAGTTTCACAAAACCGGTTTACCAAACAAGTTTTTACAGGCTCTAAATGGTTTAGCCGTCAATACCACATCCCAAAGTAGATGTCAAGTGATGGAATGGTGATATGACGTTTCTTATATGTTAAAAAAAAAAAATTTTAACGAAACATTTCCGGTATTGTTTATTTTTAACCAAAAAAAATATATATTTTTCCTCTAAAAAGTCATTTCTGGTACTATTTATTTACAACACATTTTTGTTTTTTTATTAAAACTCAAAGTTTTCAAACCCTTTTAAATTAATTTTCCTTAAAAAAATGGCTAGACAATGGATAATAACTTGTTTATCAGAATGGCGTTAATGCGTTGGTATTTCAATCTAATCAACATTATTATATGCTTTTACTGAAGGTGTTGAATTAATTTGGGACATGGTCATATTATTCCAAGATTGCATGGAGCATATATGCTAATTAATAAACAAGATTTTTACAATTACTTATCTATAAGCAATAAGTTCTCAACTTGTTTATCTTTTTCTGCAATAAAATTTTAAGAAACAAAGAAAGAGATAGAACCCGAAACGAAAAACAGGTAACAGTCGTTTTTATTTTTGTTCCATATCTTGGTCATCTAAACTGCCATCGGATTAGGGTTTCAATTATCATATTTTATTTATTTATTATCAACAATTTAATTAGATTTTTCAGTTCTTATTGTAACGTTAGGGTTTCAGTTATATTTTTTTTTCTGCGGTTTTCAGTTTCCTTACATTACCTATTTGATTTTGGTAAACGTACTCAGCGACTTAACATGGCGATCAACCAATCGAAGTTGAACTGCTGCTCCGATGACGCATTCAGAGAAATTAAAGAGAAAAAAAATGAATTTTCTCAACCAAACATTTCCAATCCATGCAGTTGGCAGCATTGTTGAACTTCAAAACCAGAAGTGCTTGTTATGGGTTGTAGTAGCCAAACCGGAAGCGGCAGAGTGCAGCCTATACGTAGTTATAATTTACCAAGTTGGTGCAAACATATGTGTGTTCGGGCAAAGATTTCTCCGGAGATGGCTCTTCGGCTCTTAGCACAGCTCCCCAAGGGATTGGTACTTTGGATATGTAGTTGGGCTTTTACTTGCTGATATGCTGCAAGAGGAGGATAGAGTTAGTTTTGAAAGGTGTCTTTGTGGGGCCTTAGGTGTAGGCCTTGAGGCTCGCAATCAAAACTAACCAAGTGCTAGGCGTGCCACTGCTATCTCAGCATAGCAAATGTAGAACAAGATTGTGTTTAGTCGATTACTTGCACCCCAAGTTACTCGGACTTCTTGTCATCAAAGGATTGTCGTGGATGGGTTAAGTCCACATTAAGTTCTTTTTCTTGCCTTGTGAACAAGGATTTTCAGTTCATAGTCTTGTATATTTGAATGAAGGGAGTCAAGATCCCTTAAGTCATTTGTTTGGTTCTTGATTGGTTTTAAATGAAAGTATATTCATTAAACTGACTAGATCCATATGCAAATGAGACTCTTAAAGTAGGAAAATAGATGGATATAACTTGAATACATGATGGAAAATACATTAAACAGTAGATCTATTATCTTAGATAACACACAAAGAACTTTAAGCAAGATTTCACCTTGTCGGGCAAGGTTGAACTTTTTGCAATCACTTATTTATGAGTTTACATAGTTTATATGCTAAAAAAGGATGGATGGTAAACAAGTTTACACAAGTGAATCGATACTACGCCATTAGGGGTGATAGCAGAGCTTCTAAACTAGACAAAAGATGACTTTTGTGAGGGAGATATCCTGAAAAAGACTGAGATATGGGCTGATTATAGCTTTTGGATGCAAATCTGGCTTGAGAGCAGAGTTTGTATGTTTGTTTGTTTGATTGGTTGAATGTCCTTATCTCTGAGGCATCTTCCTCCTTTTATAGGCAGGTTAGCCCGATTGCAATGACTTTGCTCTTGCCTGAAAGCACTTGAAGGGTAGTGAGTCATCAGTTTTTTACTTGTATTGCAATTAAAAAGTGCTTTTTGGCTGATTGTGAGTTAGTCCCCATCATTTAACATTAAAATCATAGGCACATGGCCTATGTATTAATAGGAAGGCGCCAACTTGTCTCTGGGCTTGATGTTGGGCTTTGGGCAAGTTTACTTTTAATCAGCATCTTTGGGCTTCCACATACTTGCAGCCCAATTTTAAATATTAACCCAAACAATGTGCATCGACATTGTCGGCTCTTGCGATGGCTTGGTATGTTTCAAAGAGTACGAGGCCAAGGCAACCTTCTCGAACCATAGTACCAGAAATATTCGGCCTACTCAAGAACAAGAATCATATGTTTTGATTTGGGGAACGAGAAACTTGATGACAATAACGGATCAACCAGCCGGTTAAAATACAATTAAGCTTAGACGAGCTTGGCCCCAATGGGCCAGAGACATAACGTTTCGCCTAAATTCAAGTATTCAATTTAACCAATGGACTTGTAGCTTATTTAGTTAAGTACTCGACATCTTGAGTTTGATTCTCACCCTTAAATATCGCCCGTCTCAATCTCCATCTCTCCATCTCATCCATGGCTGCTGAATAATTGCTGAAGAATATTGAGACTTAAAAAAAAAAAAAAAAGATAAGGGAAACATATAGGAAACTTACATGTAAAAGAAAAAAATTATATATCAATTTTAACTTTAAATATTAAATTATGACCATGGGATCTTTATCAAACGGATAAGAACAGAAGCTAAGGTAAGTGTACAAGGAAGAAAAATTAGGAGTAAACAATTCTTTCCACATTCTTTCCCTATATTGTATTCGTTGACCACAATCAATCTTCAATGTTTCACACGGTAATGTCCTGTATTTGATTTCTGGCGCTGGTGCATCATACAATGGTGGTTAGGAAGGCTAAAATGCTTTTGTGAGTCTTTCCGACCCAAAAAAAAAAAAAAAAATAGACTGCTGTGACGAAAACATCAGATGCTTCATTTTTTTTTTATATAAAAAACAAAAACGTACATTTTTTTTCCTATTTATGTCCCATCCTCTAATAAAACGGAGATTTGCATACAACTTACATTTATATTGTTTACCTTTTAAAAAAAAAATGAGAGGATACCTACATTAAGCTATCAGGATGGAAATTCGAACACAGAACTTAACCAACTGAGCTAGAAGTCACTTTCCATTAATTTTGTTTACCTCATTGACCACAACCACACCAACAATGTTTAAAACATGGTGCAGTTTAAGCATCAGTGGTGGGAAAAGTCCATATACAACAAACTCCACAACCAAGTGATCACAAAAAGCACTTTTTCTTCCTCCCTTTCTCCTCCCTATTTCTAATGATTTTGTCACAGAAAACCGTGGCAATATTCTTCACAGAACAAACAGAATGGTGGGATTAAACGACAAGAAAAGCCAACAAATTTCCATGATGGGTTTTACAAACGACCTCTTCCATCTCCTCCCGCCATCGAGTTTTACTCTTCTGAGGGCAAGGTCAGTGTGCCTTAATTAATTTTATTTCTTGCATAAATCATGTTTTCGTGATTGTCATTTGCGTTATGCATGCTTTGACATATCATGTAGCTCTCGCTATGGTTAAGAATGTTTAGCATTGATAGAGGTTTTCTGTTCAATTTCTTCCTCCACAAGCATAATAGCTTGTTTCGAAACAAATCGGGTTAATTAGTAGGTTTTTATGTTTGTTTGTTTGTTTTTTTGTGTGTTTTTGTGTTAAAACACGTTAGGGTTTTTGTGTTAAACCACATTAGGGTTTAGGTTCATTATTATAATGACCTTTCATAATTAAGAACTTCAGTATAAGTATGAGATGAAACACATTAATTAGTGTTTGTGTGTTAAAACTAATGTTCTAATAATCCATGCCTAGCCCCGCTTCCCCGCTTAGATGCTAAGCGGCTGGCCACCTCCCTGATTAGTCCCTAACCGTTTGAAATTAAGAAGGATGCGTAGACTTGCTTAAGCACATGCCTAGACCCTATAGGTTGCAACTCTCACTTAGACATAAAATAGATAACTTTTATTTTGCATTTATTTTTTCAATAAATTGTAAGAGACTTGTCAAATACTTGGATGAAGGCTCATTATAGGCTTGTTCTCCATGTTTTTAATATGTTTTAGAACTTTATAATCTATATGTCATTCTATTTTTGCAATTAGCATTTTTTTTTAAGTACAAGTAGACATATAGGCACTCGATCTCTGTCCGCCGTCTGAGTAGCGCCTTTTAAGAGGAAAACTTGTGTGACGCTTGACTTGTCACTAGATCATGCTGAGTGGCATTACACCACCATTCAGTACTTGCCATATGTTAAACCAAAATAATAAAGGACTCTCCTTATTAAGTTTAATTAAAAATTAAATTTGATGATTGGAGGGTAAACAACAAGGTTTTACTAGGTTTTATGAGTTGAAGATGAAGAAGATGTATATTTCTGGGTATGGGTTGATTTAGATGATGGGGGTGGGTTGGTGGGGACGGGAAAGAGAGGAAGGAGTTCTGGAGGTGTGCTTGAGTAAATAAAGTTTCTTTTTATTTAATTTTAATTAACTACCTAATTAATTATGTAGTAATTTAATTTTTAATTAAACTTAATAAGGAGAGTCTTTTATTAATTTGGTTTAACACGTGTCAAGTAATGAATAGCGGTGTAGTGCCACTCAACATGGTCCAGTGGCAAGCCAAACTCCACACAAGTTTTTCTCGCCTTTTAATACCTTGATTAAAACACATTAATGTTTTTATTAGTATTCAATAATACATATAGTTCTAATAGAAAAATCCACAATTTATTTTACAACTTAAACTTTTTGCTATTTTCCATTTCTAGTTACACCAAAAAATTAAGGATATGTTTGGTACTCTACTTGAATCCAACTTTTTAAACTCAAAAACAATTTTCAAGTTTAAGACCTTAAAAACTTGTTTAATAGGATTATTTTCAAAAACTGAACTCAAGACTAACTCAAAAATATAGTCTATTATCTAGAAACATAAAAAGTGAGTGTTTAGAGTTTTTAAACTTAAACTCACTCTTTTCTTTTGTCTCCCTCCTCCCCTCTCACTCCAATCTATCTCTCTCTTTCCTCTTGTTTTTTTTTTTTTTACCTTTTTCGTCTCTCCTCTAATTTGCTCTTTTTATTTTCTCGGTTATTTCTTTCACTCCTCTTCCTCACTATCTCGTCCGATCCTCTCCTTTCTTTCTCTTTCCTTCAATCATATCTTACTTTCTTTCCTCATCTCTCCTCTTTCTCCCTCTCTTGTGATCCCTTATTTTTATATCTCTTTGTCTAGTTTAAGTTGTAAGATTTAAAATTTTTAAATCGCAAACCAATCAAGTATTTGAGTTTTAAAGAAAATTGTTTTCAAGAATTGTTCTTAAGAAATGATAAAAAATTTCAAATAAAATACCAAACAGAATTATCCATTTGTTCTTAACTTTCTTAACTCCATCCCCCCACTCTTTTTAATAGAGATTACATCAACCAAAGATCTCAAAATCGGAGAAGGATTCTCTTCCCTTTTTTTTTTCCTCCCATTCCCTCCTCTCCTATTTGAACAGTCATGGCTAAGCCACGTCAACATCTTATATTAATTTTTGTATAGAAAGAAAAAAATAAAATAGAGAGTGTGAGAAAAGGGGATGAAAGGAGATAGAAAAAGGAAGGGAAATAATCCTAATCCCTTAAAATCTATTAGACGTCAAGTAATTCCTTTGAATTAATGAGCATATTAATTTTAATCAATGTAAATAAAATCACATTACGTATTCTCTACTGCGTCGTAGGGTTTATCAAGTTTGCAGCAGCAACCCCCTTCCAACGAAACGACAATCCTATCCCTGCCGTTTGAATTGTTGATTGGAAGACTTTAAAACCCTGGCGTTTTGAAATAGTTAATTACGCGGGTTCCCTTTGCCTTTCCTAATCGAACGCAACAGAGAGTTGTCCCACCGAAACGACGCCGACCCGAACCATAAACCCGAAACCCTTTGACTTGGACACTTCAATTTTCTCAGTCCTAACCAGATCAGATTTTTTTCCCCAATTATTTTCTTGGGTTTTATTTGTATAATTTTTAGAAAAAACAAAAAAAATTAATTAAGAAAAATGGCTATGGCGGGGCTGTACAGACGAATCCTTCCTTCTCCTCCTGCAGTCGAATTTGCTTCCTTACAGGGAAAGGTACAACCTTTATATGCAGCTTCCTCACTCCGTCACTTACTTTTTCTTCAGATTTATTATCTTTTATTTCCACCATTTTATTTAATTTTTTTTTTGTGAGTCTTAACATTTAGCATTAAAGCTTGAAACTTTAATTTTTCTATAGATACCCTTTTTATAATACAATGTGAATTTGTCTTTTTCCCCAATTTTTGTTTTGGGGTTAAATTTTTTAGTTCAGTTTATGTATGACCCTACATTTGTTTGCCGCCTGTGTTTTTGGGAATGTTGCAAATTATTCATAAGTCAAATTATATGGTGTTTTTCTTGGGAGTGAGTGATTTTTGTGCTTGTGATGTGTTGCTGTTCAGAACCATTGTTTTTTGGTTACTAAATTTGATGGTTTTCGAATTGCAGGAGCTTTTTCTTGAAGCCATTCAGAGTGGGACTATGGAAAACTTCTATAGGTTGATTTCTTCTTTTCAGACGCAATCAGAGCCCGCTTATTGTGGATTGGCGAGCCTGTCCATGGTTTTGAATGCCCTTGCTATTGATCCCGGAAGGAAATGGAAAGGTAAAGTTTAAGCTTTATAGCTAATAGGATTGAAGGTATCATTTTGTTGATCCAGCTAGTGAATGGCTCCTTAAAATTCATCGACAGGTCAAGTTTCGTTATGCTGGCTATCTTGTTAATCGCGTATATTTAAGTTCTATTGGATAACTTCTTACTGCATTTGATTTCGAAATTGTCCTGGTCGTTATAATCTGAGTTGTTGAGGATCAAACTGTCTTAGACTAATAGCTTTGGGGGATTTAAGAATTTGTTCTTGGTTAGCTCTTACAAGTCAGACACTTTAATATTGTGATGCTTTTCCTTGGTATTCTTTACGGTGTATACAGTGCATAGTAGTTGTTGCCTCTCATTGTTGACTCCATCCTAGTTTGCAAATGCCTTGAATGTAATAAAAGCTTCTGTTTAGCGATTTCTCTGTCGAGTTTGATCCTATAATTTACATGTATTATAATTTATAAACTGAGTTCTTTATCACAGGACCCTGGAGATGGTTTGATGAATCTATGTTAGACTGCTGCGAGCCTTTGGAGACAGTTAAAGTAAGAGGGATCTCATTTGGGAAGCTTGTCTGCTTGGCTCACTGTGCTGGAGCAAAAGTTGAAGCCTTCCGCACAAATCATAGTACAATTGATGAGTTTCGTAAATATGTGTTGAGATGTTCTACATCTGATGATTCTCATGTGATCTCATCATATGATAGATCAGCTCTCAAACAGGTTATTATTACTATACTACTCTACACTTTCTTTGGCGGAACCATTGATAAGTTTTAGTTACCTGTGGAAATGCTTAGTATTTTGCAGCCTTATTATTATACACAGCTTATTGGGGAACTTGTTAATGCAACTCCTGATGATTATCTCACTTGATGATTCTGCTTATATGGCCCCGTGTCACACTCCCCAATTCTTTGAAATTCGATCAGGTATTGAAGTACAAATGAATTTGTTTATTGCAGACAGGTACCGGTCATTTTTCACCAATTGGTGGATATCATGCTGGAAGAGACATGGCGCTTATTCTGGACGTTGCACGTTTTAAATATCCTCCTCATTGGGTGCCCCTCAAAATTCTTTGGGATGCCATGAATAATGTTGATCCCTCTACTGGACAACGCAGAGGGTAGGTATTCATGCATGCTAGTGAATATTACCTATTGCAAATTATATCAGATGTGCACGTTGAAATCCATTTCTATTATTTTTTGCTAGAATATGAAATGCGTTGAATTTCAATAACATTCTTATTTCTCAAACGTGCCCAGGTTCATGCTTATATCTAGGCCGCACAGGGAACCAGGTCAACTTTATACCCTGGTATGATTGAATTCGTCAATTTAATGGCTTCAAAACCCAAACCGAACTCCCCCATACACAGTTCGGTCGGGTTTCATTCTGGTTGTCTGAATGTGCATGTCTTTTTCCCTTTCTCCGTGGCTTATTCATTTGTTTATATATTTTTTCCTGTCTTCGTTAATATCACTTCTACCTATTTGGTGTGTTTTGATTTGTTGTATGTCATTATTGCAAGCCGTCTCTCTCATATGTTTGTGTGTTGGTGTTTGACAAAATAATTATGTTTGTGTGCTGGAGTTGTCACAAATCTTGGGTTGCTTACTTATTTTATGATCGTTGAAGATATTCATCTATTTTTCTGTGATATTTCATGCAGAGCTGCAAACATGAGAGTTGGGCCGGTGTTGCGAAATACTTAATGGATGATGTTCCTCTTCTTCTAAAATCAGAGGAGGTGAAAGACATTCAAGAAGTTCTCTCTGTTGTTTTCATGTCGCTCCCATCCTATTTTGGGCAATTCATCAAGTGGGTTGCAGAAGTTCGGAGACGAGAAGATGGTTGCCAAAGCTTAAGCCCTGAGGAAAAAGCTAGGCTTGCTGTCAAGGTGATCCAGGCCTTCAGTTTCGTCGTTTTCCCTTTTCCAGCATCAAATCGTCCCACTTTTTTTTTTTTTTTATCTTTAAGAACCCCAAACTATTTTCTAGTTTGTAATTTAAATACCCGAGTATTTATCTGCAGGGGGAGGTACTGAGACAAGTCCAGGACACTGGCCTTTTTAAACATGTGGCAGAATTATTATCTTCAGCACATTCATGCTGCGGAAACTTATATTCTGGTCACGAAGAAAACTTGCGCAACATTGCTGCGAGTGTTTGCTGCCAAGGTGCACAAATTTTGTCGGGGAAGTCTGCCTTCTCGGGGGTGTATTGTTGTCAGGAAACATGTGTGAAATGCTTGAAGGCTAATGGTGACAAGCCAGTCATGGTTGTGAGTGGGATGGTGGTAAATGGTGGAGCCGAGGAGAGGATGGACATGCTTGTTCCTTCGTCAAAAACAAATTCAGGATGTTCTTGTGCAATTGGGATGCATCCAGCTAGCAATGACATTGTAACAGCACTTCTACTGGCCTTGCCCCCAGGTACATGGTCTGGGATCAAAGACGAGAAGCTTTCGAAAGAAATATCTAACCTTGTTTCCACTGTAAATCTTCCTACTTTGCTTCAAGAAGAGGTAAGCTTAAATGTTTTGTAGTTTTCAGCTAATTTTTCAAGTTAATTTGTCTTTGATCAGGTTTTGTAACATTACCTACTGGCATGGCACAGGTTTTGCACTTGCGACGCCAGCTCCACCTTCTTAAGAAATGCCAAGAGGATAGGGTAGACAAAGATCTTTGCTCCCCTCTCGCTTAGACTTCTCTCATGTTTACTCTGATTTGCCTAGTATCGCCAATGGACATCAAGCAGAGAAGGCATCAATAACTCGTTTTCGATGTACTTATCAAATTATCCATAAATATAGGCACCGTATAAAACTATATGTATTACAGAACTGAATGATCATGAAGAGTCATGGCGAAACCTTAGTTTGGTACTGAGGTGATTCTAAAAAAAAATGGCTATAAAAAAAAATTTGGAGCTTTTTTATGTACGGTAAACATTCAGTTTCAGTTTTTTTTCATAGTTTTGGATGAAAAAAGCCAAAAATACAAATCTGCAAAATCTAGCTTTGAAAAACCAACTTTTTTTTCACATTTGTTTTACATAGAAGTTTATCAAGCACTATAATACTGTTTTTTTTTTCAAAAGCACTTTTACAAAAATGTTTACCAAACACTATTCTGCTTTATTTCACAGCTGCTTATTCTCACAACACAGCAGAAACGATGTTTTTTTCAAAGCACAGTAATACCAAACTAGCCCGAAGAGCAGGTTGTTTCCTTAGATGAAGCCGCTGATTGAGCTGCGTGATAACTGGAATACCGATGTTAGGATGTTTGCACAACATTTTACGATCAGAATTCTTGATCACCGTGGTGTTTGGTGAATTTAATCCAATGCCACTCAATTTTACTGTCGCTTTGGTCCGACTCTGTACTCGCAGAGAGCTGTTGAGATGCAAAGATGGATTGGGTTACGAATTTTCAGTAGAAGCTAACATGCTTTGTACTTGAAGAGCTCATATAATATTTCATTTAGTGGTTTTTTAGGAGGGAAATTATTTTGGTTTTTTAGCCAAGATTGATATAGCTCTTTATTTTGGTTCCTGATATTTGAAATCAACGCATTTATCCACTATCAATCATTTTGGTTATTATGTTAAAATATTGTTAAAGAATAATCAAAATGATAAAAATACCTTCAATTTAATAAACAATGACCAAAATGATTTGACAAAATTGATGATATTTTTATCATTTTATTCTTTTTTTAATGGAGATTTTGGCCCCGTCATGTTGATCTGCACCAAACAGTCTAACAATAAATCAGCACCTCACTGAGCCAGCGTTTTCGTGACCCTGAGGTGAGTACCAGAGAATATTCCAAAAAATCAACATAAAGAATATTTCTAAATATATTTTAAAGAATATTTCAGAGAATATTCTTAGAATATTATGAACTCATTTCGGAATTGGGCCGGGCTTGGGCCAAAGGTTTGGGCTTAAGCCTTCTTTTTTGTTTTTGTTTTTTTGTTTTCCCGGGTCGGTTTGACCCGTTTAGGACTCGCGGGTTGGCCAGACCCATCGAAGAAGAAGGCCGAACTGGCCGAGTTTGGCCGATAAACTTCCCGAGCTCCGTTCGAGCTTGATTCTTAACCAAAATTGATGTTCTACCTATGTAAATGAAGCTTGGAGTGAGGAGAAGAGATTCGTACCAAAAAGAGGCCGAGTCGTGGCCGGAGTCGGTCGGAAATAGCCTGCAAACACACGGGTCCTTCGCTGGAAAACTGGAGAAGTTTCCCCTGACGTATTTCTGTGTCCAACAACACTAAAACATCTCAAAAGTATCCTAATCGTACTCCTAAACATGATCTACGAAGATCTTGGGGGTCTTTCGAGGCTTGCTTACACTGAAATTCACGAGGTACTCGCCAGAATACATGAAGGTCACGGGTCTAGGCGTCTTGGTTCGATGGTGGTGATGAAACTCGGTTGTAGGGGAGATATAAGGGTGTTAGCTTGGTGGGTCGTCGACCTCGCCGGAGTGGGGAGGAGGCCGGCCTCACATTGCAGAGGAGAGAAAAGAATAGAGCGAGAAAGTTAAAAGTAAGAGAGAGAAGGGAGAGTTAGAGATAGAGTATCCCAAAGAGTCGGGTGATGAGTGATAAGTGTCAAGAGGTGAGAGGAGAGTTTATGTTGTTGTGGGCCCCACGGGAAGAAAATAAATTAGTAAAATATTTAAAATATCAATTCAGAATTATTAGAATATTAATATAAAATATAAAATAGTAATTTTTATAAAAGTCTTTTCGGATTCGTAGTTCCATAAAATCTTCATTGTAGCTTCAAATTCGATTATGTTTGTATCCATGTGTTTGTACTATCGATTACTTTGAGAATAAGATAAAATAATAGCTCATACGGGTAACGAAATAACCATCAACAAAGGTCAACAATCTTGCCACTAGGGGTATTTATGTCTATTCACTCTTTTATAATTAATAAAATTGTAAAATTAAAGACGGGTTGTTACACATTTAATGAAATTTTCAAATGACAAATACCAGTGCATGTTTTACAAAATTATAATCTTTGCTCCTACATTATTGTCGTTGACAATTATTATATCACATAAAATATCATATCATTTTTAATCATTTAACATATTCAAAGCAATTTATATGAAAGTTTATCAAACACTCATACATTATTTTTTTTTATTAGAAGCACTTTTACAAAAAAAAGTTTACCAAACACTCAACAAATTTATTTTACAGCTGTTTATGCTCACAGCATAACATATTAGTTTTTTTAAAAAGCACCGGAATACCAAACTAACCTTTAGTACTACATTCTAGTGATTTTCCTTTTCATTTATAAGGGAGAGATTTTACATTTGATTCTCGTTAAATACGAATTTTAACCACATTATACTAACTTATTATGAAACTTAGCCCGTCCCACTACCTCCTTAGTACAACATTATTTGGTAATAAAAAAAAAGGGAATCCTTTGCAGAAAACTTTCTAAAAAGGGCAAAAAACTGTTTACTACCCTCATGTTTCGTGGTTTTCAATATTTAGTACATCAATTGTTTTTAATTCCAGAGTTATATCTAAAGTGTAAATTTTGGGATAGTCTCATACATCCGTTAGTCAAACTGTTAAGTTTCCAGTTAAGTGATGACGTGACGCCCATGTGGACAATGACTGGGCGCCACGTGGGTCCACGTGAATTTTTTTTAGGGGTTCAAAAAAACATTTTCCCGCCCAAATTTTTTTCCCACAACCATGTACCTACATTTTTACCCGCCAAAAGTTTTTGAAAAAAAAAATCATCTACTTTTTTTTTTCCTTCTTCTTCCTCGCGCCGGGGGGGGGGGGACGAACTGGGTTCTTGATTTTTTTTTTTTTTTCTTCCTCCTCCTTCTCCTTCTTCTTCTGAGTTTTGGGGGTTGGGTTTTCTTCTTCTTTTTCCTCCGAATCTGGGTTGCAGATTTAGGGGGTTTTTTTTTTTCCTTCTTCCTCCTCCTTCTTATTCTTCTTCTGCCTCCTTCCTTCTCCTTCTTCTTCTTCTTCTTCCTTCGAATCTGGGTTGCAGATTCGGTTTGTATTTTTTTTTTCCTTTTTCCTTCTTCTACTTCTTCTTCCTCCGAATCTGGGTTGCAGATTCCGTTTTTTTTTTCTTCTTCCTTCAAATCTGGGGAAGATGAATATTTTTTTTTTCATTCTTCTTCTTTTGGGTTGCAGTTTCAGTTTTTTTTTTTTTTTTTTTTTTTTTCTCTTCTTCCTCTTCCTTTTTCTTATTCTTCTTCTAGGTTTTTCTTTTTGTTCTTCTTCTAGGTTGGCGCTGAGGAGGTCGAGGGAGCGGACGACGGGGGAAGAGGAGGGAGGGAGAGGTTGGCGCCGTCGGACTCAAACACCGGAGGGTTCAGGTGTGCACGGCGAGATTGGTGTCGGAAATGGAGGAGCTTGATAAAATTGGGTGGTGGGTGTCTTGATAAAATTGGGGGATGAAATGGGTTCTGCTGTGTGGGTATCAGGGAAAGGAAGGGTGTCGGTGGGTAGGGGTGGAGGGGATGGAGGAGTGGAGCCGTGGAAGGGGTGGAGGGTGGGGAAGACGAAGGGGAACTGGGAGGGTGGGATTTGGGGAAGATGAAGGGGTGAGTTATGGGAGGGTGGGATTTGGGGAAAACGTTGAAGTTGAAAAAATCCAAACCTTGATTGCAGTCAAGAGCCCAAATGTCAAAGCCGCTTGAATTTCCTAAAAAAAATGGTAAATCTATGAATCAAAATGGAGAGAGAGGCAGAGAAAGGGATGGGAAATTACTTGGTGGTGGAGGTGATCAGTGATGTGGGCAGAGAGGACGTGGACGGCAGAGGTGCAGATGACGAGGTAGGACAAAAAACCCCAAATGTCGGCCTCCTTCTTCTATCCTCCCTCAATAACAAGCTTTATGTATCGACCCAGATCAAAAACTCCAAAACCATGGGGATTTTTGCAACTCTAAAGTTGGTCAAAGCCACAAACCCATTTTCAAAGAATTAAAGGTATGGAAATGGAGCATCATTCCAATCCATTTTCAAAGAATTAAAGGTCTGGAAATGGAGGCGTACCATGTGGGTCCCCGCATCGCGGATCTGGAACTCGTACTTGAAGTGGGTTTTCATTTCTGAGTGAGATGGAGCGAGTTGAGGAGGACAGATGGGGCTGGGTTTTTTGGGAAGGAGAAAAGGCTTGGTGGTAGGGTGGGTATCAGGGAAGGGGAAGGGTGTCTGTGGGTGAGGGGTGGAGGCGATGGAGGGATGTCGGGTGGGGAAGACGAATGGGTAGTGGGTTATTTTTTATTTTTTATTTTTAAATATATATATATATATATATATTTTAATTTCCACATAGATGACACGTGGCGCTCAGTCATTGTCCACATAGGCGCCACGTCACATTTAACGGGAGACTTAACAGTTTGACTAACGGATGTATGAGACTGTCCCAAAATTTACACTCTAGGTACGACTCAGGAACGAAAAAAACTTGATGTACTAAATGTTGAAAATCACGAAACATGAGGGTATTAAACAATCTTTTGCCCTTCTAAAAAATATAATACACCACATAATATTCGACTAGAACTTTACACACAATCAGAATCCTAATAAATTTAGGATTGCAACAACAACCTAATTATTTGGTTTACAATTAATATTCCCAGCTATTTGATTATTTAAAAAAAAAAAATCTATAATATTCCTACCTATTTAATGATTTTTTTTTTAAATAAAAATTTGGTCTAGAACAAATTGCAAACTCCGTATAAATCAAACACTCAAACTCACAATAGATTTAAAAAAAAAAAAATCAACAACTAGTTAAGAACTAGCAACAGTGCTCAAGCGTTGTTGCGAGATCGAAAATTATATTTAAGATTATACAAATTCATTCACTTCATAAGCAATATTTGAGTCAAGAAATGAGTATTACAAATGTTTAAAAAAAAGAAAGAAAAGAAAACTGAACTTGACAACGGGACCTCAATGATCTGGCTCAATTCATCATTCAAAACTTGGTTGAATTGTGATTCGCTCACTCTATTCCTAAACAAAAGAAAACCAAACCGAGTTCAGCAAGAATTATGCACGATCTTTGTGAAACTATATAATGAATGATACAACATTGGATGCAAATTTGAGCATTTTACAGAGAAGAAAGGAAAATTGGATGCAAAAAATATATCAATGGCGAAGCACATGTAAGTGGTGAGAGAAGATATCATGATTATGCTCTGATCATGTTACTTCGACAGAGAATTGTCCTCTTCTCTCTCTATATATTGTAGCCCATCATTTCTTCAGCTAGTCATTAGTTCTACTGCCTAACTGACATAGTGGGGAGAGAGTTGGGTATTTTGGCTTTGCCTGCATTGTTGCAGCTCCAGGAGGCTCTCTTTGGCTATGTTCTTGGTGTTTCAGGTCAGTCCCCTTCTTCTTGTAAGCATAGGGCAGAGGCTGAGGTTCTAAATTTGACAGCTGCAAAAGAATGGAAACGGAAACCACTTGCTAGCATTCAACTAAACTTGACATTTCTATATGCACTCACAAAATGTTTCATCATTCAAATGATATTGCTTTTGAACCAAAGTATGTGGAAAAAAGAGTGGAAACCTGATTAGCAATTACCGCTTCCAGCGATGCCGTGGTGCTAAGTTTTACACTTCGAATCTCCAACAAATAAGCTCCTCTGTAACACTAAAATAAAAAATTGGACATAGACGAAGAGTTAAGACTACCTTACACAAATCAATAGAGAACTAAGATAATGTGACAATCTGCATGTATAACCTATGCGTCCATCGTTATGGGTTTCAGCAAAAATACCATATTTTCAAAGTTACTTATTACTACATGTTGACCCTAAAAACTACCAAGCCTACGTGGCGCGCAGACAGAGTAATCTATAAGCTAATTACGTCATTCGATGAATGCGGGGCATGCCAACTTGTCGGCCGAGCTCAGCCGAGGAGTAAATTTATTAATGTTGCGTTGGGTGAGTGGCTGACTTCTGCGTCTTGCGATTACGACCGAGGAAGGAACACTTCTCAGCCTCTTGGGTTCTCGAACCTGAAGACAAGGCTACTATTCTTACGAAGTTCACGAATCGCCGTCATCGGATTCGGTCACAGTGATGTTATTCGTCAGAGTAAACTCACGCCGAATCGACACCAAAGTGTAAGGGCACAAATACTCAAAGCGAATATAAGTCTTAATAGTGAACGTGGTTCGGCCGCCTGAATGCCGAAATCTAAATCCCACTTGAGAGTATCCAATCATAAAATAACTCGGCGTGCAATGCGCCGAGCTCAGTAAGCTGTAACACTTCACTTCGTCGAGAAGGCTAATGAGATGACCTCGATCAATAAGGATTCGGAAATCCTTCTCGGCTGAGACTTGGACAGGTAACCAACCGCCCTCGCCGCAGTGTTGTTGATGCCAACGGAAGATGCTGCGAGATCAGCTGATTCTACGGCGACAGAGATATCTATGCCGACTTAAGATATCATCGGTTGCTTTCACAGTGCTGTTGATGCCAACGGAAGATGTGTCAGCGAAAAGAGAAAATAAAAATCTCAAAGTTGTTGAGAGAGTTTGCGCA